TGAATGGACTATGTGCATTAGCCTAGTAAAATATTGTACAAAGTGGGTGCAGTTTTGGGTGTAGATAAAAGGTCTCGCAAATAAAAAGAGGAATCTCGTGACACTCTAAGCATGCATCCAACCTATGCACATATGGTACCGATGATCATTTCTAGGTGTCTTTTCTCCTCTCTATTGTTGTGTTCATACGGTACATTGAAAGAAAGAAACATGTAGGTTGTTAGAATTATGATTAAAAGGTTGGAAAGTGTTTATGAGATATTAATTATGTAAAACATTTTTGGAAGGTAGTTAATTAGTGTATTAAATAAAAATTGTAAGATGTTATACCTTGTTTAAATGATTAGTATTGCATTAAATCTCACTCATCCAATCTGAATTTCAATAGGTCACATCTAGATCTCTATACTATCATTTAAAGTTATATTTGTTCACATGTGAATAAAGAATACATAGAACTTTCTTCCTGATAGAAACAGAAATTTAATAAAACATGCTTTGAAGATCTAGAACAATTTATTATGGTAATGATGCAAGTTTTGGTGGTTTCAATGGGTAATGATGCAGGGTTTTGGTGGTTTCAATTTCATCCAATCCTAAACAGGCTATGTACATAGATTAATTAAACATTGTACAAAGTGGGTGTCCTTTTAGGCGTGGGTAAAAGGTCACCAAGGTAAAAAGAGGAATCTCATGACACGTTCTATGCATGCATCCAATTTGTGCACATGTGGCAGTGATGATTATTCTTATGTGTCTTTTCCTATCTCTGCATTTGTCTTCATACAATCCATTAGAAAAAAGGAACAAGAAATAGGTTGTTAGAATTAGGACAAAAAGGTTGGAATGTGTTTATGATAATATTAATTATGTAAGACGTTTTTGAAAGGTAATTACTTAGCAGTTCAGGTCAAATATTATAAAATATTACCTTCTTTAAATGACTAATGTCGCTCTAAACCTCATTTGTCCAAAATCGACATCCCCAATTTGAATTGTGAATGTGTTACGTTTAGATTACTATGGCACCATCTAAAGTGGCATTTGTTCACGTGAATAAAGGCATACACTTCTTTCTTAGTAGATAGAAAGAGAGATTGAATAAAACATGTTTCTTAACACCTAGAACATTTTCGTATGGTAATGATGACGGGCTTTGGTGGTTCACTTTCTTTCAAACTTGAATGCAATATGTATATTAGAAAATCATTGTACAAAGTGGGTGTACTTTTGGGTGTGAATGAAAGGTCTCGAAGATAATAAGAGAAATCTCACGACACACATTCTATGCATGCATTCAAGATGTGCACACATGACAGTGACGGTGGTTTCTAGGTACCTATTCTCCTCCTTACAGTTGTCTTCTGGCAACCCAATACAAGAAAGACACGTAGATT